AGGAAATGCTGTAGATTGGGTTGCTGGTAAGAGATCAAATCAGATATTTTGGCAATTTTATAATAGCTCTTTAATGATCCAAGAATGCCAGAATACCCCCCAAGGGAACACAAATTTGTGAATTCTGAGTAGCAAATTCATTAAGAATGGCCATTAAAAAAATCTTAGGTAGGGGCACCTAGTTGGCTCGGTCGGCTGAGCATCCGACTCTTGATTTCAGCTCAGGTCTTGATCTCAAGGTCATGAGTTTGAGCCCCATGTTGGGTTCCATGCTGGGTGTGGAGCCTACTTAAAAAAAAATCTTAGGTAACATCATGATTTAGGCTCCTGGTCACTATGAGTCTTCTCCTCCCCTCTTTACCACTCCACTTCCCCAAAAGAGAAGATACGGAATTTCATTCCTATAAATCTCCCATTATCACAACTATAGAGAGTCCTGCTCATAGACTGGGATGGATTTAGTGACCCTTCTGACTTCTGTGCAGTCTTGACTTTGCCATTAAGAATGTTCTAACCTCCACGTAGCACCAGCCTCTTTGGGCTCTGTAGAGCACCCTGTCATATGGGACCGAGATGTGACCTCTGCCATGGGCACTTGAGGAAGTACTGATGAATAAATTTTCATTTTCTCTTAATGGGAATCAGTATGGATTTCTCTCTGGTAATTCTGGAAAAGCAGTCTGCAAATTTTGATTGCCACGGTTCAGCAGGAGTTGCAGGAGACCACCTCCAATACGAGTGGAAACTTTGGAAGTTTCCGGGGTGGGGAGTTTAGAGAGCAAGAAACAGGGGAAACACAGAAGTAAATGGGGGGTCATGGCTCCTCTGTCTCCGCCAATGGCATGTCCCACAGGATCCTCTCACTGAATCAATCTCTATCCACGTGAATGCTCCCTGAAGTCAACACTGCTATAGGAAAGTATCTAGAGCCCACACCTTGGGTATATGGCTTCCTTGTTTGTTTTTTCTTTTTGATACAGAAGCCGCTCATCGTCTTGGCTATAAATCTCCTATTTTTAAATGAGGACATTTTCATCATGGTGCCTTCCATTGGGTTAAGACAGAAAATCAGAGCCCCTTCCTTTGACCAAACATTCTGGTGGCCCTGAAGGCATGAGTTTCCTCATGCCTAATAACCACTGGGGTGGAAGGAATACAGAGGCGTCATCACAGCCATTGCCCGGTCTCAGAGCAGAACTGTGACAACTCTATCTCAGATGGGAGGGTACGTTTTTACTTACAGAAATATGCCGTACGGAGACTAAAATTCTCTTTAGTCCTTGATACTAGGACTGAACAGCCACTGTGTCCCAAAGTTCATCCTTTTACCAAACTCCATTCTTCTCTGCTACGGTTGAAGGTTTAAACCTGTTTACTCTTGTTTTCTCTTCAACAGAAAGAATAGCTAGTCTGCATTCCAGTTCAATATGGCAGGGGGAGCACATGTGAGAACTCCCTGCTCTTTTCCCACCAACGAGTGAGGGATGAAATGGAAAACTCAGTTATATAAAAAAGATATAAATAAACACATGGGTGAGTGAGTAAATAAATAAATATGACTTTAGAACTGCCAAAATCAGGCTCAGAAGCAAAAGGAGACTCCTTGGGGAATAAAACACAGAAGGAAAAGTATAGCGATAAATGGGGGCCAAAAGCCATATATGGTCCACCACTGGCGCCTGGGACTGGATGCAGACAGCCAGGCAAGAACTATGGCCTCTGAGTGGCTTCTCATGTAAAGGTGGCGACTAGGGCCACACTCCTCACACGTAAACAGGGGCTGGCATAGCTCTGCCCACCTGAGGTGGTTCCCACCCTCAAACGGACTGCTTGCCCAAGGTAGGCAGCTGCAGCTAAGGTCCCAGTCCAAGATCATTATCAGGGACTAGCACCGTACAAGAAAACAGAGGTAGAAATCGACCATCCAGACATGAGGGAGCCCAAGCTGAGACACTAGTATATGACCCAGTTAAGAGTGAAGTGACCTACATGGCCTGGAACAACATTTTCCCCAGGAAGGAAGGGCATATGCAAGAGAAACCCCCCTACACACAGACAATGAGCTTTTAAACAAAGATTTTAGAAAACAAGGGAAAACTCAGAACCAAGAAAAGCTGTCAAGAAACCAGTAAAAGTGAGAATTCACACCTGAAAAATATATAGACATTGAAACAGTCTAAAATGGACTCTAAATAAATACTTCAATACCTTAAAGAAATAAAGAAAATAATAAGATCCCAAGAAACACAAGCGTATAAAACAGCGATATGTAGATACTTTAAAATGTAATCCAAAAACTTGGGAGGAAATACAGTTATTGAAAATGAAAGAATAAACAGAACCAAACAGATGACCTAAATAGGAGGCATGAGAAAGAATTCATGAATTGGAGGACAGAACTGAAGTAATATATCATTACAGGGAGTGTACCAAGATGGAAAAAATAAAGGAGGCATTAAGAGACACGGAGGATAGGGGCACCTGCGTGGTGCAGCCACTTAAGCATCTGATGCTTGGTTTCAGCTCAGGTCATGATCTCAGGGTCATGAGATCAAGCCCCGTATCAAGCTCCACGCTCAGCACGGAGTCTGCTTAAGTTTCTCTTCTCCCTCTGCCCCTCCCTGCCATGCTCCCCCCCCCCTTTCTAAAATAAACCGATCTTTAAAAAAAAACAGGGAGACAGAAGATAAATTAAGTGATCTGCAAAAACATATGCCAAAGGCAACTTTGAGAATGAAGAAAAAAGAAGGGTAAGATGTAATTTTCAGAAAAACAATGAGTAAAACTGAAGAAAAATTTGAGTCCTTTGGCTGAAAAAAATCATGTACTGGGCAGGCTAAATGAAAATAAATCACACATCGATACACTTTATCGTGTGCACCAAAGAAAAAGAGGAAATCTTAAAAGCTAGAAGAAGGAGAAAACAAGTTACCTACAAAAGAACTATAATCAAACAGTAGATTTCTTATCCACAAACGGAGGAAGTCCACAGACTATTTGTTAGTTTCTTCTAAGTGTTAAGGGAAAACAAGCATGCACCTATAATTTTATGCCCAGCCAAATTATCACTCAAGGATGAGGACAGAATAAAGACATTTTTGCATATAAGGATTAGGGAACTTTGGTACCACTGCTCACAGAAAGAACTGGTAAAGGTCATAGTTAACAAGAAGGAAAATGAACTCACAAGGAAGTGACCTGCAAGGACAAGAAGGAAAAGAAAATTAACAGCTTATTTCTATACTCCATAAAATGGGCTTTTTAAGTCTTAAAGACAATTTTCTCTTTTCTGCTATTTATGATCTCAATTCCTTTATCACTTTCTTTTTCACTCAAAGGAACTGCTGGCTTATACTTTCCCTTTTTCTCAGTACTTGTTTCCTATTCTGTAGCTGGGGTAGGTGATAGCCATATTGCACTCTACGCTTTTCTACGCTGTGCTTCATGTCTGGGTCATGCCTCAACTTCCTTCCCAGGGACGAACGATGTCTACATAGTTTAGATAAATTCCTATGGCATTAAACCACTTTTGGAGACTTCCGGGGGAAAAGATGTGGAAAAAAATCTCCAGATTGGCCTTTTTAACCAGAAATTTTTCTCCCATCTACCAAATCCTTCCTTCGTAATCCAATTTAAGTAGAAGAAGCAAAGAAATGCATATAAAAATAGTAAGCCTCATTTGGGGATTTATTCCAAAAGCCAACTTTGAGGTCGATCTTACGCCAAGTCAGTCTCTCACACCTTGAAGCATATATTATCATCACCAATATTCAAAATGATAAACGTGTGACATGACATGATCTTCTGCCATCTGGGAAAGACTCCCCGGTGTTCACCAGAGTGTCTTTACTGATGCAAGAAAGTATAGTTCACAAAGGTAGTGATCAAAATGGTTTGGGGGCTTCTTCTCCATTAAACACCTCCATTCCTATAACTGAAATGTTAACTGAATTTTCACTGAACCGTATTCTTAGCCCCATTCCTACCATTGCTGCCTGGACACTTTTGGTTTCTCTCTTCTAAGTTCTGAAGTTTCCTTACTACTTAAAAGAAGCACCACCTATGCCCTAGAATAGTGGTTCTTCATGTTTTTAGGGTCATGTACACCCCTTTACAAATACCAATAAAGCTATGGATCCTCTCTAAAGGCATTTACATGTATACATAGTTACACCAAAAACAAAACAATTTTAAAGAGTTCACTGACCCCATAAAGCCCACCCATGGACTCCGACTCCAGAACCTCCATTCTAGAGGGAAACAGGATCAGCTTACAAGACTACGAGGCTTCTACTGCCTAGATCCTGAGGCAGTCACTTAGCTTTTCCTAGGACTGCTGTCCAGCCCACAGGCATTCTCTTCATCATTCCACGCTTGTATGCCCCTGGTGTGGGAGCCAGGCCCCAGCCAGACGTGAACAAAATGTCACTGAGTGAGCCCCTGCCTCAGACAAACACCCTAGCCACAAACCCTCAAAGTAGACGTCCTAACAGCCTTGTGAAAAAGTCTCTGCCCGCCTTCCCCTTAGATTTGCTCTTAACAATGTGTACATAATAACTGTGCAGTCTGGAGGAGGTGACAATTCAGTGGGCAGGCAGCTTTATACTGTCATAAACCTCGCTGGTTCAGCTCCTTTGATTTATGCAATCCCAGCACTAATTGCTTAAGACACGTGCCTGGTGCCCATGGCAGGAAGAGGCTGTTTATGGCACAAACTCTCTGGGCCACAATTCCCTTCCCCCAACTGACATCCACCTTCACATGATTAAAAGCCCAATGAAAATCTGTTACTGGGTACCCAATAACTTATTAGAGCCTAGAATGTGCCCCGCTTGGGCTATAAACAGTATTTAGGGGCCAGCGTGGGCTGCCTAAAAGTGTCCTATTGTTATTTCTGTCTGGAAGTTTCCCTTCTGGGGAATTAGGCAGATGGAGTAGGTTGGGGGGAAGTGGGAGGAAGGAGAGCCGCAGCTGGGAAAGAAAGAGGCGATCTGGTTTACCTGGGCAGCGCGGGCAGCACAGATGAGGGATATGCACAGGGGACAGGCAATGGAGGCTTGGACATCTGACTCGGCTGCAAAGCACATTCCCATTCTGGAAGAGAAGAGGCGACCATGAAAAAAAAAATTAAGGTCTCTCAAAGGTCACCTGCGCTCATGCCCCTTTGGCAAACAGTCATGCAGGGATTCACCCAGACAGTGAACAACGCATTCCCAAGTAGCTGAATGGAATCAGCATTTTCTTCCCTTTTCTCATCACTAGCACCTCTGCTGGGTTGGTTGATTGCTTACTGGCATATTTTTCTAAAGCTCGGGTCACTCTTGCTCTGGTTTTCAAAGCCTCCCGCCAACTGTGGAAGGCTCCTCCTGGCCTGCCTTTGTGGTGTTTCCACCATTTCCGGCTCCAGCTCACATCGACAGGAGCCTGGTCTAATTACAGGATCACCTGCCCAATGCCACGGGAGGGAAGGGATAATGAGCGATGGGTCCCCTGAGCAGCTAGCCACCCCTGGGCAAGGAGACATCGCTGGCACATGGGTCCTGGATTCCATGTAACTCTGCCTTGGACCAGCAGGCTGGGGGACCTTCTCTCCTCACTTCCTGTTTCAGTCATAAGCTTTCTGAAAACCAGCTAAGCTTTGGAATTGAGCTGATTACCTAGCATGCCTGGGCGGGGGTGACTGGGTCCCTGCCCGACTTACAGTTACAGGACCCCTAGCTCCAATAGCTCTCAACCATTGTTAGATCAAAGGAAGCCTTTGGAAATCAATTTTGCATTAGCATTTCCATCCATAATTCATTCCAAGCAAGGGTGACTTGTATCTATCACGCTCCTGTGGGGAAAAGGGTAACAAAGAGGACGGGGAAAGAGAAGATGCCTAGCACTAGGAGCTGTCGGCACTGGGGTCATATTAACATTTTCACTGCCCTGCAGATGGCAAAGCTCAGCCCCCAAGGGCTAGCTGTCCATTTCCAATGTGTTGCGTCAAGAATCTGACACAATCATGTCATACCAGGAGGTTTGGAAGCTAATCAGTACCCAGATGCTCTACTTAATACCTGCCCTGGCCATTTAAAGAGGCAGGCTTCTTTTACCCAAATCTGAATCACCCTACCATAAACCTCTTTCTTTTCTCATGGACTTTCTAGAATACGTTTTTGGAGTGTTGCATTTGGAAACACCACAGAGCCTCCTTATGGGTCACACTCCTCAGAGCCAGGTGGTATCATCTTGAAGTGAAATCACCAAAGCACATCAGAAACCACTCCTTCTGGCTGAGGCCTACACCAATGCCTCCTTAATGCCTTAAACTGAATTCTGTTCTAGAGTGAACAGATGAATAAAAATAATAACCATAACGACAGCGATGATGAGGGCGCTGACAGCAGTTAACATCTCTTGAATGTTGGCTGTGACCGAGCACAGTTTTAGGTGACTGAAACCTATTAGTGAATTTAATCCTTCCCACAATCCTATGAAATACACAGTATCATTATCCCATTTTAAAGAAAAAGAAGCTGAAGGGATCTCAGAGAGTTCAGGTAACTTGTCCAATGTAACACAGCTTACAGGTGGCAGAGCCAGGGTAGGAAACATGGTCTGTCTTGACTCCAGAGCTCAGTAGCCTCTTAACATGACTTCCTACTGCCTCAAGGTTAGGTTTCCGCATGCTTAGAATTCTAAAAGCCCAATTTCTACTTAAATGGCAAAAGAATCTGGCTGGCAAGTGACTGCTTCTATACTACCCAGGCACTAAGGAGGAACTACAAGTTCTTCCACGAGGTCTCAAGCGAGAGGCTGGTCTTGAAAATTCTTTCCATATGCTCGGAGTTCTCCATTCTCAAGTCCTGGTACAAGGCCCCCTTACCCAAATGGTTCTCCACCAGGGGTCGTTTTGCTCCCCAAGCAACCTGGACCACGTCTCGGGTCATTTTTCGGTTGTCACAACTGGAATTGGTGCTATTGGTGTCTAGTGGGTCGAGGCCAGGGATGCTGGTAAACATCCTACAATATACAGGACAGCCCCCCCAACAAGGAATAATCTGTCCCTGAATGTCAACAGAGCAGAGCTTGAAAAGCCCAGGCCTAGTATAAGACAGTAGAGGCTTATTCAGAAAGATGGAACACAGCTGTGGTCCTGGGTCAAGGCCACGGAAAGAAGATGAGAGTACCTGCTTTGCCTATTGCAAAGATGGCATTTAAGGTGTCCAAACACCCCTCTGAATGTCTGGTCAGGAGTCAAGGCCAAGCCAAGAGAACTGTAATGGTTACCAGGTCAGGCCAAGGTTCTGCAGCCTCAATCCTAATAACCGCTACTGGCCCAGACATCAAATATGCTCTCCCGATCAACCGCTGTATGATCTGTCCTAATCTCTTCTCTAAAGGCCAGCCTTGAAAATGATCTTCAAAACCGATTCTGTCCGTAATCCACGCATTACTTTGAGCTCTGTTCCCCTACTCCCACTATCAGACTATTCTACCTTCTCCTACCATGGCCCGTATCCTTTGGCTAGGAGACCATAAATATCTGTCCATAGCAAAGACTTAGAGATCCCACCAAAAAATCAAGCCAAACGGCAACAAGGGGAAAGAGTCCGGAGACATTTATTTCCCCTGACAAGCTGCTTCCTATCTTCTCTTAGGCTTTCACCACCCCTGCTTCCCAGCCGTCTGGGCACTGGAAGCACCTCTGCACGCCGAGGAGCGAACTGGGTGTCACGTTGTACCTCTGAGCAGATGCAGTTGACGCAGTAAACCAACCCATAGGGTTCCAGGTACGGATGCCATCTCTCGCCCACTCTGTACTTCTTGTCTTGAAACACACAGTATGTCTCTGAACCTGTGAGGAAGGAGATGGAGAATATGCCTGTTAGACCCCACAGACACAGTCACCAAATCTAAAGGCAATCACACCTCCCACCTGTCTTCGTGTTACATCAAGAGCGGAGGCATAGGGAGTGTTTCCAGAACCTACCGTGGGCTCAGTGTTTCACATGCTATGCTTATTCGGTCCTACAATGCCCCAGTACGGTAGACACCACTGTGAGTCTTGTTTCACAGATGAGGGCAATCAAGTCACATAACCAGTAAGTAACTGACAGGAGAGTCAAACCCAGCTTTGCCCGAGTGAAGCCAAGGTCTTGGTGACTGCTCTGTTAACAACGGTAAGGTAAGGGAGCACGTCGTGTGTCCTTCTGGAAAAGGCTGTGCTCCCTTGCTGTGGAAATGCAAGCTAAGGTCTGAAATGCGGATCTATCTTTCTCCGAGCTGCCCAGGGGTGGTGCAGGAGTAATGAACTAAACACATTGTGTTAAGTTCCTATAAATGGTTTTTGCCCATGCGTGCTAAGATCATTCAATCATGAAACAAATATTTGGGCACTTACTATTTGTCAGGCACTCTGCTGACTGCTGGGAATAAAATGGTGAGCAAAAATACCCACAGTCCTTGCTCTCCTCAACTTACAGACTTGTTCTTCTATAAACGACTCCCAATTTACTCAAAAGCAATGCCTCCTTCCCCTTTGATGAACAGCTGATCTTGTGCCACAGTTCCTTGAGCACATACTATGTTACTTGCATTCCTTTACACATCTTGTTTCTCCATCAAAGTAAAAGTCCCTCAAAATCAGGCAACATCTATTCGGAACTCTCTGTTTATCACATGGTCTAGCACACCGTGGCCAATAAATGTAATCAATAAGCAAACGACTGATAAATGAATCTCCAAACCATGTGATTCGCCTTCAAATCCCATCCTCATCTATCCACTGCTTCCCAATCACACAAGGTCAAAGCAAACTAAAGACTCTTCTTGTGGCAAACCCATTAGTTTCCCCCACTCTCCAGTACACATTTCCCTGATGATCAAAATTTTAAAATAAAGAAAAGGCAGATAAGCAAGAAACTGGGAGAAGATATATATTTTTAAAGATTTTATTTATTTGAGAGAGAGAATGAAAGAGAGAGAATGAGAGGGGGGAGGGTCAGAGGGAGAAGCAGACTTCCCACTGAGCAGGGAGCCCAACATGGGACTCGGTCCCAGGACTCGGGGATCATGACCTCAGCGGAAGGCAGACACTTAACTGACTGAGCCACCCATGTGCCCCAAGGGAGAAGATATTTCCAACCAATAAAGTATCAGAATCGGGAACCTTTTCTCATCATTTAAATTAATAAGTAAAATACCAACCAATCCCAACAGAAAAATTATCTATTTATCCAGGACATGAATAACAATTTGAGGGAAGAAGAAATGGGAAACAGGCAACAAACATGAAAAGATGTTCAACCTCACTAGTAATCAGAGATTCAGATTAAAACTACACTGAGATCATTGTCTCAAGTCACTCACTGCTTCAAAGACCCTCGGTGATTTTTTTCCAGCAACCTGCAAGATAAATTCCAATTTACTTTTCAAATCTTGATTTCCAACTTCTTCAGAACGATGAACTGGAAGTCAGAAAATCTGGGTTTGAATTCTAACCAACTCTAGCTGTGTGGCATTGAGCTAATCATTGAAATTGTCAATCTAAAAAAAACTTTAAAATAGGGGTGCATGGGTGGCTCAGTCGGTTAAGCACTGGACTCCTGATTTCAGCTCAGGTCATGATCTCAGGGTTGTGGGATCAAGCCCCACATCGGGCTCTGCCCTCAGAGTGGAGTCTGCTTAAGATTCTCTCTCTTCCTCTCCCTCTGTCCCTCCCCCCTCAAAACAATGATAAAAAATTAAAACATAAAAAATAAAAATAAAAAAATAAACCGTCAATCTCAGTTTTCAACACCTGCGAAATGTAGATTATCTGTTTCTCAAGCAGAGTTTGGAGGATTAATTGAAATTCTTTGTAAATCATAAAGTACTGCAAAATGTAGAGCATTATTTTATGTTAATTATTTTCTTTTTAGAAAAGTAATTCATACTTAATGTAGAAAACTGGAAAACATTCACAAAGTTCCAAAAAGAACAAAATAAAAACATAAACATATAACTATGAAAAACATTATACACAATTCCAGCAGGAGACAACCACTTGTAATATACTGGTAACTTACAAATAGCCTGTGGGTTGAAGAAAAAAATCAAAAGGGAAATTAAAAAATAGTTTGTACTAAGTGAAAATAAAAACACAGCATATCAAAATCAGTGGGATTCGGCTAAAGAAGTACTTAAAGGGAAATTTATATCACTAAAATACCTACATTAAAAAGGGAGAAAAGTCTCAAAACAAGACACTAGAAAAAGTAGAGAAAATAAACCAAAAGCAAACAGAAGAAGGGAATAATAAAGAAGTCAGTGAAATCGAAGACAGAAAATCAACAGAAAAAAATCAGTGAGACCAAATCTGTTTTTTAAATAAAATCAATAAAATTGATAAACTTCTTACAAAACTAGCCAAGATAAAAAGAGAGAAGATGAGAATTCCCAATATTAGGGACAACAGAGAGCATTCTAAAAAAGGACTTAAAAAAGGAATATTATGAATAACTTCATGCCACCTAAGTTAGCAACCTCGATGAAACAGATTAATTCCTTGAATGACACAAATTACCAAAGCTCAATCTAGAAGAGATAGATAACCTGAATATTCCTATATCTTTTTTTTTTATTTATTTGTTTGAGAGAGAGAGAGCAAGGGGAGGGGTAGAGGGAGAGAAAGAATCTCAAGCAGACTCCCCACTGAGTGCATAGCCCAATGCGAGGCTTGATCTCAGGATCCTGAGATCAGGACCTGAGCTGAAATCAAGAGTCAGAGGCTTAACTGACTAAGCCATCCAGGCGCCCCTCTTATATCTTTTAAAGAACTTGAATTTGTAGTTAAAAATTTTGTCACAAAGAAAACTCCAGGGCCAGATGGCTTCACTGGTGAATTCTATCAAACATTCTACCAAACATTTCAGAAAAAATGAAGAAGAGGGATTACTTCCCAACTAAATCATTGATGTAGGCATGACCCTGACATGAAAACAAGATTAAAGGTATTACAAGAATAAAAATAAAAAGATAGACCAACATACCTCCTGAACATAGATACAAACATTCTCAATAAAATTCCAGTAAATTAAACCCAACAGTGTATAAAAAGGATGACACTTTATGAGCAAGTGGGATTTATCCTGAAAATTAAAGGCTAATTCAACATTCATATTTCAGTCAACATAATTCTCCATATCAACAAACTGGACAAGAAGAATCATGTAATCATCGCAATAGATGCCAAAAAAAAATTTGACAAAATTCTATATCCATTTGTGACAGAAACTCTCAGCAAAGTAGAAAAAGACCTTCCTCAACCTAATCAAGGGTATCTTCAAAAAAAACCTACAGTTCACATTATACTTAATAGAAAAAGACAATGCTTTCTCCCTAAGATGGGGAGTTATGGAAGGATGTGTGCTCCACCACTTTGAAGATCCTAGCCAGTGGAATCAGGTAAGAAAAAGAAGGAAAAGGCGTACATATTAGAGAATAAAACACAAAACTGTTATATTTATAGATGCTATGACTGTCTACAAAGAAAAATCCCAAAGAATCGATTTAGAGTTAGTAAAAATAGTAAGAGAATTTAAGCAAGATTACAGAATACAAGGTCAATATAAAAAAGCTGATCACGTTTATATATTCTACAAAGAACAATTAGAGATTGGAATTTGAGGGGGGTGGGAGGGATGGGGTGGCTGGGTGATAGACACTGGGGAGGGTATGTGCTATGGTGAGCGCTGTGAATTGTGTAGGAGTGTTGAATCACAGACCTGTACTTCTGAAACAAATAATACATTATATGTTAAAAAAAAAAAAAAAGGAAGAAGATAGCAGGAAGGGAAAAATGAAGGGGGGGGGATTCGGAGGGGGGAGACGACCCCATGAGAGACTATGGACTCTGAGAAACAAACTGAGGGTTCCAGAGGGGAGAGGGGTGAGGGGGTGGGTTAGCCTGGTGATGGGTATTAAAGAGGGCACATTCTGCATGGAGCACTGGGTTTTATATGCAAACAATGAATCATGGAACACTACATCAAATACTAATGATGTATGGTGCTTAACATAACATTAAAAAAAAAAGAATATTTATCTGAAAAAAAAATTGGAATTTGAAAAAGTACCTTTTGCAGTAGCTCCCCCTAAACATAGAAACACTGAGGTATCTAACAAAATGTGTGCCAGATCTCTAATCAGAAACCTACAAAACTATGATAAAAGAAACCAGAGGAGTCCTAAAAAATGGAGAGGTATGCCTTGTTTGTGGACTGGAAGTCACAATATTATGAAGGTGTCAGTTCCCCCCAAAGTGACTTATAGATTCAATGAAACCCAAAACCAAATATTAGCGGGTTATTTTATAGAAATTGGTACTCTCATTCAAAAGTTTATATGAAAAGGTAAAGGAGTAGAATAGCCAAAACATTCTGACAAAGAAAGATTTGGGAGGACATATACAAAGTGATTTCATGACTTAAGGTAAAATTATAGTTTTCATGGCAATGTGTTTTTGGCAAAAGGTTAGGCAAATATATCAATAGAACAGAATGACAAGTCAAAAAATAGACCCACACATAAATGTAGTCAATTGACTTTCAACAAAGGTGCAAAGACCATTCAAAGGAGAAACAGTACTCTTTTCAATAAATGCTGCTGGAACATTTGAATAGTCATATACAAAACATGAGCTAAAATGAATCTGTAACTCAGACCACATACAAAAATTAATTCAAGATGGATCACAGACTTCCATGTAAACTTTAATATTTTAAAACTTCTAGAAGAAAACATTGAAGGCTATCTTGGTGATATTGGGTTAGGCAAAGACTTCTGAGATATGACACCAAAACCACAATCCATAAA